CAATTTCACCCATAGGATATTTTCCCCCAAACAGCCCCCTTCCCATCACCCCCCTTAACCTGCCCTCAAAATAGTTTAAAAGGCCCAATTTTTTAAAATCTTTTAAATTTTTGCCCACCCCCCCCATAATTTTTCCAAACCCTGCCCTTGGCTCCCACAATCCCCCCATTGTACAAACATCTACCACCCCGTGCCCCCTTTCGCGAAGTCCTTCCATAGGACAGAAAAATCCCACAAACCCCCCCTATAAACTCAATCCCACTTACTTTTAAAATTTCCAGTAAACCTCCTGTATTTTTCGAAGCTCCTCCCACCCAACCCCTCCACCAACACTCCCTTCTTTGATTCGACCATGCTCTTCAAAAAAGTTCTGAAAGATCTCCTAAAAACCCCGTGAAAAAGGGTTCACTCTATCAAACCTCGCTGCTTTACCCTTTTAAAAACAATTTTCCCTCTGTCCCCCACGCCCCCCCCTCAAAAATGGGTCCAAAAACCTAATATCCCTCAAAAAACTCATGGGGGCCCCCGACACATAACCTCCCCCCTTTGGGTTTCCAAACGTCACCCCCCTCCTAATGCCGCATTTCCCCAATCACCCCCTTACTATTGCCACCTCCGGTAAGGCAGGAAAAAAAAAAAAACACAAGGTCCTCACACCAAACTCCTGCTTAAATGTACGTTTTTTCTCTGCAGGCGCTTTATACGCTAAAAAGGGGGCCAAACGTTTTCCATCCACAAACCATTTTAATGCGAAAACCCCCTTCCCCCTCCCCCCCTCTTTTCTCTGCAAAAAAAAAAGGGGCCCTCACCCCCCTGTTTAAATTATACCCCCCTCCTTTCAAACGGGCGATGGCAGGGTTACCCTCAAAAACCCCTCCATCCCCAACACCCAAACCCCCCTTAAAAATTATGTCCTAAAGGGGAACACAAATCCACTCAAAAATTTATTCAGAAAAATTTTTAAAATTCTCTCTTTACACTTTTAAAACAAACCATTAACGTTTAGGGTCATCCCACCGGGGGCCTTTTTAAAAGTTTCCCCCCCTTGCCTCCTTCTTCACTCTTCCTTTGGGCCCCAAAAACGTTTTGGGACCACTTGTCACCTGCACATTTTCCCTCTTTTCCCCCCCCCTTCTTTCTGTGCCCCCTGTCAGGGCCAAACCAAATACTCACCCTTTTGCCCCATATTTGCTTTTCCCAAAAACCCGATGCGCTGGTGTTAGGACATCATCTGAATTTCCCACGAAACGGCCCCTCTTTTTTTGTGACAGGGGGCTTTCCCCCATTTTGGGTTGGGCTGGGGAAAGCCTCACAAAGTACCCCAACCTCCCCTGTACACCGTTGCAATGATTTCGGGGGACACCTCGTCACGCTGGGCCTTCCTTTGTTCCCAATTTGTTCTGTTGTGTTTCACTACGCCTTAAAATCGTCTTTTTACCAACCTTTCCAGGGGGCAGCCAAACCCCCTCAGGGGGGTTTATACAAGGACTTCAGAACCCCCGGCTAATTCTCCTCAATTTTCCAAAAATTCCTCCTGTACTTTTTGCGCAACCCCATCCAATGGAAATGTCTTGGGCCAGGGGGAAACTGGTCAAAGGGGCCCCACCCTTCCCCCCCCCCTTATGTGGGCCCCATCCAATTTAAAAGGGTCCATAGACGACCACGCCCTCCCTTTAGGGCGTTTTTATCACCCTCCCTCCCGGTTTTTGAAGCCCGATGTCTCCGCCCCTGGGGGCCCGGGGGCTCGTTGCCGCTTCCCACACTCCGCCGCTATGTGATCCTATTTTCCCCCCTTTGTCGGCTTTTACCCCCCTTTGCCCGGCGTATGACACCATTTACCCGTGTCCTGAATTCCTTTAGGGGACCCCGAAAAACGGTTTTGGGGGTCGCAATGTCATTTTTAGGTTAAAAGTGCCCCCGGGGATACCTGTGTAGGGGAACCCGGGCACCCATTACCAAGCTGGGCCAAAAGAACCCGTTCCGTATTTCCTTCAAAATTTTTCTTTTTCTGTTTTCTTTTTATCAGCCCTTTAAAGGGGGGCATTACGCGTTTAATCCCTGTATAAAGTCTGGATTTCAAACGTACCTCAACGCCCCCAGCTGGGTTTTCATCAAGGGCTTCGTCCCGGAAAAAAGGTTTTACCAACGACTCGTAAACCCTTGCTGGGGAGGTTTTCACAAAAAAACTACGGGCTCCCTTCAATGGTCTCCGTACAACTCGCCTTTCCCGAATTGGCCCCTACGTGTTTTTGATTTTAAGTAGTTAAAACCTGGGCTGAAGTGGCGTTATTGCCCCATTTAAAAGTTTAACGCCGACCCGTGTTGATCCTGCGTCTGTAATGAACGCCATGTTGACTAATGGTTGTTTTTCCCCGGGCTGACGGGCAGAGGCCCCGGGCAAGCACCACCCCACACCTCACACTTAAAGCAGCAGGGAACTGAAATGCGTGTTTCGTTTGCGCAGGAGGGCCCCAAAGCACCGGCCCCCGAGGGGATGCAGAAAAATGAAAAAATTGAGTTTGGGGTTTTAAAGGTTTTCTGTTTTCATAAACCCCCAAGTCCTTTCGCAAAACTTTTTAATTCCTTCTCAAAGGGCAATTTAAAGTAAATACGAGCAAAAGGGGGGGCCTAAAATTGAAACCTTGTGGAACGCCACTAGTAACTAATCCCCATTTAGGGTAAGTGGTTTTTGAGAAGAGTCTTAAATTGATGTTCAGACCGAGTTACTTTAGTATTTACTGGTAATGAATTCCAAAATTTGGAACCCTTTATGTGCATAGAGTTTATACACAGTGTGATATGGACACGGGGTACATCAAAAAGAGATCTGTGTCTTGTGTCGTGTGTCCTGTTAAGGTTGATGAGGAGAAGTTTGAGTGGACGGTTTATGTTTGCGTGTATTGTTCTGTGTATGTAGCAGGCACATGAATAAGTATGGATGTTCTTAATGGTGAGCAAATTTAGTCTTTTGAATATTGGTGGAGTATGCTGGCGGGAGTGGGAATTTGTTATCATTCTGACTGCTGCCTTTTGCTGGATTATTAGGGGTTTTAGGTGATTTAATGTTGTTGATCCCCATGCACAAATCGCATATGTGAGATAAGGGTAGATGAGTGAATGATACAGTGCAAGGAGAGCTGATTGTGTAACATAGTACCGTATCTTTACACAAATAACCCGCACATAAAAGAGAGAAGCTTACGACGACATTTCGGTCCGACTTGGACCATTGACAAAGTCACACTAACCAGAAGTGGAGCAGGACGGCTATATATAGGCAGGAAGAGGTGGTGGTGGTGGTGGTAGTAGTAGTAGTAGTACAAGAATAGTATATAATGCCGACAAGATGAAATTAAGACACGCGCAACACCCAGTCACGGTATTGTGCCTTTTTTTATTTATCGTATCTTTGATAGTATGTCTACTGTCTTAGAGATTCTCTTGGAAATTGTTGCGTCTTAAATTTGAGGCTACTGTCAAGGTGGATTCCTAGGAATTTTTTCTCTGGGAGTCTTGTGATGGGTGATCCATTTAGTTTATTAATTAAGTTTATTTATTAAGTTTATTAATCATCCAGGTAGATATTTTCTGCAATTCAGCATTAACAGTGTTGGCGAATACGACTGGGTTAGGGTGAAGGAAGACGTATGTTGTATCATCTGCAAATAATATGGGTTTGAGTAGTTGTGATGCATTCGGTAGATCATTGATATAAATGAGAAAGAGGAGTGGTCCAACGACATTTCCCTGTGGAACACCAACTGTGATTGGTTGAGTGGAAGAACTACCACCATTTGTGTACACACATTGGCTTCTGTTACTGAGGTATGACTTTAGGTAGTTGAGGGAGTGCCCTCTTGTACCACAGTGTGTTAATTTAATATGTAGCAAATCACGGTCAACTATATGTTTACGTAAGTCAATGAAGATTCCCAGCGGGACTTCTTTCTTCTCGAGAGTGGTATATATTAGCTCTAGCATGTGTATAATAGCATCATTTATTACTCAAGAAATCGTAATGACACGATTGCAAATAAACCATACCCCCGGGAGGGATTGAACCCGCGGTCATAGAGTCTCAAAACTCCAGCCCGTCGCGTTAGCTTTTATTAGTCCTGAATCCAAAACGACCGACAACCACCATGGCTCCAATTCCATCCTACTGACCTTTCGAACTGTTCATGTGTACTTAAATCCATATAATGAGTTCCACTATAGTTCTACTTCCACGTATTCGCTATTTACAGGAAATAAGTCACTTTGTTGTTCTTGATTCACCGGTACTCTCCCGGTCCGGGTCCCTGGTACGCTGGTCTTGTCGGCTGAGATGGTGACCCAGGTTGGTACTCTCCCGGTCCGGGTCTTTTCCAGATGGTGACCCAGGTTGGTACTCTCCCAGTCCGGGTCTTTTCCAGATGGTGACCCAGGTTGGTACTCTCCTGGTCCGGGTCTTTTCCAGATGGTGACCCAGGTTGGTACTCTCCCGGTCCGGGTCTTTTCCAGATGGTGACCCAGGCTGGTACTCTCCCGGTCCGGGTCTTTTCCAGATGGTGACCCAGGTTGGTACTCTCCTGGTCTGGGTCTTTTCCAGATGGTGACCCAGGCTGGTACTCTCCCGGTCGGGGTCCAGATGGTGACCTGGTTTGTCCTCCTGGTCTGGGTCTTTCAGACATGTGACCCAGGGGTACTCCTCCCGTTCGGGGACCAATGTGTCCTGCCTGTCTTCCGCTCTCCCTGTCTTGGTAGTAGCTTTGAGTCACATTTGTTCGCTATGGAGGAGGTACAAGTACCTCCCATAATTTGGGATCCAAGTGTCCCTAGGCCTATCCACTTCCCCGCCTCATCAGGATTCTAGGGAAGCTAGGCCTCTGGAGTCACTTTGACTTTTCTGCTATGTATAATAATTGATGTATGTATAATTAATGTATACATGTATACCTATACCAGAGTAAACTTTCCCTCATTATCACACTCATATTAAGATTCTGAAGCCTCGGCAGGTTGGGATAAGGAGTGAAGCTTGAAGCTTGAAGCTTGAAGTCCACTACAACATGACTTGTACTTTGAGAAGTGTCGTCAACTGTGGCATAGTTCTTGGCATCCTCGACCTGGTGAGTGCCATCAATTTCAAATTCTAATTTCTTAATATTCAATATCTAATTATGTCTTAAAGAAAAGCTGAGTATGAATCAAGGTCTCTTCTAAATCAAGGTCTTTCTAAATCAAGGTCTTTATAAATCAAGGTCTTTATAAATCAAGGTCTTTATAAATCAAGGTCTTTATAAATCAAGGTCTAAATCAAGGTCTAAATCAAGGTTATCAAGGTCTTTATAATCAAGTCTTTAATCAAGGACTTTATAGTTATAAATCAAGGTTTATAAATCAAGGTCTAAATCAAGGTCTTTATAAATCAAGGTCTAAATAAAGGTCTTTATAAATCAAGGTCTTTATGAATCAAGGTCTAAATCAAGGTCTTTATAAATATTTTCTAAAAAAAAAAACAGTGTTTTTTTATGTTTTTTTTTATTCCAGTGTTTTATTTTCCACAATAATGTTTATGTAGACTCTGTATTGTCTGTTGTTGTAGTAATACACTTGCTACAGTAGTCTTGTTTAATACAACACTCTTGTTCTTTAATACACTAGTGATTTTATTTAATACAGTAGTGATTTTAATACACTAGTGATTTTAATACAGTAGTGATTTTATTTAATACAGTAGTGATTTTATTTAATACAGTAGTGATTTTAATACAGTAGTGATTTTATTTAATACAGTAGTGATTTTAATACAGTAATGATTTAATTTAATACAGTAGTGATTTTATTTAATACAGTAGTGATTTTATTTAATGCAGTAGTGATTTTAATACAATAGTGACTTTATTTAATACAGTAGTGATTTTAATACAAGTGCTTTTATTTAATACAACAGTGTTTTTGTCTGATACAAGAGTTTTTGTCTCATACAGCAGTGTTGTTGTACCAGTCCAAGACATGTCTTTGACGACTGATAATGGTAAAAGTATGAAGCCGTTCGTAATATATAACATTACTGACCTAAAGTGAACACTTTCTCTGAGGGACTGATTACCTTATCTGTTTCCAGTTTCTACACTTCAGCTGAGGGACTGATAACCTTATCTCCTACTGTCTCCAGTTTCCACACCTAGGCTGAAGGACTGATTACCTTATCTGTTTCCAGTTTCTACACTTCAGCTGAGGGACTGATAACCTTATCTCCTACTGTCTCCAGTTTCCACACCTAGGCTGAGGGACTGATTACCTTATCTTCCCCTGTATCCAGTTTATAAGCTATACTGAGTAAAACATGTGACTGGCATAACGTCATCTAAATATAAATTCCCTGGTGTTGTACATGTGTCTAATTTATCATCTATTAAACACATCGGCAGTTTCCCACCAAGGTACGGTGACCCGAAAAAGAAAAACTTTCACCATCATTCACTCCATCACTGTCTTGCCAGAAGGATGCTTTACACTACAGTTATAAAACTGCAACATTAACACCCCTCCTTCAGAGTGCAGACACTGTACTTCCCATCTCCAGGACTCAAGTCCGGCCTGCCGGTTTCTCTGAATCCCTTCATAAATGTTACCTTGCTTACACTCCAACAGCACGTCAAATCCTAAAAACCATTTGTCTCCATTCGCTCCTGTTTAACACACTCATGCACACTTGCTGGAGGTCGAAGCCCCTTGCACACAAAACCACCTTTACCCCTTCCCTCCAACCTTTCCTAGGCCAACTCCTACCCCGCCTTCCCTCCACTACAGATCTATACACTCTCGAAGTCATTCTATATCGTTCCATCCTCTCTACATCTCAATAAACCCTCCTCAGCTCTCTGGTAATCCCACACCTTTCCCTAATCTCCAAACTACGCCTTCTCTGCATTATATTCACAGCACAAATTGCCCTCAGATATGACATCTTCACTGCCTCCAGCCTTCTCCTTGTCGCAACATTCACAACCCATGCCTCACACCCATACAAGAGTATGGGTGTGAGGCATGGTACAACTATACTCTCATACATTCCCCTCTTTGCTTTCATGGATAAAGTTCTTTGTGTCCACAGACTCCTAAGTGCACCACTTACCTTTTTCCTCTCATCAATTCTATGATTCACCTCATCTTTCATAGACCCATCTGCTGACACGTCCACTTCCAAATATCTGAATACATTCACCTCCTCCATACTCTCTCCCTCCAATCTGATATCCAATCTTTCGTTACCTAATTTTTTATCTTCATCACCTTACTCTTTCCTATATTCACTTTTAATCTCCTTCTTTTGCATACCCTACCAAACTCATCCATCAACCTCTGTAACTTCTCTTCAGAATCTCCCAAAAGCACAGTGTCATCAGCAAAGAGCAACTGTGACAACTCCCACTTTGTGTTAGATTCTTTATCTTTTAATCTCACACCTCTTGCCAACACCCGAGCATTCACTTCTCTTACAACCCCATCCATAAATATATTAAACAACCACGGTGACATCCCACATCCTTGTCTAGTCCTACTTTTACTGGGAAATAATTTCCCTCTTTCCTACATACTCTAACTTGAGCCTCACTATCCTCGTAAAAACTCATCACTGTTTTCAATAACCTACCTCCTAGTCCATACATTTGCAACATCTGCCACATTGCCCACTATCCATCCTATCACATGCCTTTTCCAAATCCATAATTGCCACAAAAACCTCTTTACCTTTAAATACTGTTCACCTACATGTTTCACTGTAAACACTTGGTCTACACACCCCCTACTCTTCCTAAAGCCTCCTTGTTCATCTGCTATCCTGCTCTCCGTATAATATTCTCCTTTAATCAACATATTTGCCAATGTTTACCTTTTTATAAAGACAAATTTTCGAGGCTGTTAAAGAACAAAAGTCGCAGTACCATGACTGGAACAATACAAATAACCCACACTGAGGAGAGAGGAGTTTACCTCGACGTTACGGTCCATCCTGGACCAGTTACAAGTCACCGAAACGTTGTCTAAAGCTTGTCTCTCCTAAGAACCGTTAACCTATCTGAGCCCATTTCATATATATATATATATATATATATATATATATATATATATATATATATATATATATTATATATATATATTACAAACACTGATCTCTGGCTGAAGGAGACTCGAACCTACGAACCTTGGAACAAGGTATGCAGTGCTTTACCAATCTACCCACACTGGACAATACCTTGGAGTCCAGCTTGCGCTAGATTTTGATTCAAGGCAGCCAGCTTTCAGGGATAAGGCTTACAGCTTTTCATCTCATCCCCTGCATGCATCAGCCTTACTAGAGATATTAACAATGCAAGGAATTCGCAAGAGCAGGCGAAATATACACAAACACTGATCCCCCCAGGATGCCACCCACAGCAATCGACGAAAACAGGTACCTACTTACTGTTAGGTGAACAGTGGCAGAAGGGGTAAGGATATATATTCAACGTTTCCACCCGTACCAGGGATCGATCCCCGGACACTCAGTGTGTGAGCTGAATGCGCTACCAACCGAGCCACCTTATTAAAGCTTGCCCTGTGGTATGACTTAAGATACTTATTTTATCATTTTCATCTGTGAAATAGGATTGAGCTCACAACCGAAGGTCCAGGATCAATCTAAGGGCGGGTGAAGACGGGAACGTATTTCCTTACACCAGTTGTCCCTCGGTGTAAATTTCCAAGACCTCTACTATATCTTTCTCCTATGTACTCCTACGTACTCCCAAGCACTCTTCACCTAGCAGTAAATAGGTACCTGGGTATTAGCAGCCCATTGTTGCTCGCATCCTGATACAACTTATACAGACCATAGCTGACATCAATGACATATACAGAAGGCCCCTTGTTATGTATACCATATCGAGCAAATTAGATTTTGTCCCCAGGATGCCACCCACACCAGTCGACTAACACCCAGGTACCTACTTACTGCTAGGTGAACAGTGACAGCAGGTGTCTTAAGGAAACACGCCCAGTGTTTCCACCAATATCGTGGATCGAACCACGGACCTCAGTGTGAGAGCTGATTACGCTACCAACCCAGCTACTGTACAGGGACACCAACTAAGAGCTGGACTCGACCTGAGGTACAATAACAACTCATTCCTAAATTGAGTCGTGTAAGTAATCCTGTGTAATTAACTCTGAACTTAGTTTAACTTTCTTGGTTAATTCTGACCTTGGTTGAACTTGGGTTGAACTTGTGTTAAATTTGTGCTTATAAATTCTAACCTGGGTTGAACTTTGAGATGAACTCTGATACTTGTTTGAACTTTGTGTTTAACGATGACCTGGGATGAACATTGTGAACATGACCTGGATGAACACTGTGAATATGACCTGGGATGAACATTGTGAACATGACCTGGCATGAACATTGTTAATATGACCTGGGATGAACATTGTGAATATGACCTGGGATGAACACTGTGAATATGACCTGAGATGAATATTGTGTATATGACCTGGGATGGACATTGTGAATATGACCTGAGATGAATATTGTGTATATACCCTGAGGGACATGTGAATAGACCGGGATACACTGTGAATATACCGGATGAACATTGTAAATTTATACCTGGATGAACATTGTTAATATGACCGGGATAAACATTGTGAATACCTGGGATAACATTGTGAATATGACCTGGAAAACACTGTGAATATGACCTGGAATAAACATTGTGAATTACCTGGATGAACTTTGTGAACATGACTGGAATAAACATGTGAAAGACCTGGATGCACACTGTGAATATGACCGGAACTAAACATTGTGAATATGACCTGATGACACTGTGAATAGACCGGAAAACCCATTGTGAATAGACCCTGGGATGACTTGGAACATACCTGGGATGAACACTGTATATGACCTGGAATAAACATTGCGTATCTACCTGGGATGAACCAGTGAATATGCCCTGGGATGAACATTGTGAAATGACCTGAATGAATATTTGTATATGACCTGGATGGACATTGTGAATATGACCTGGGATGAAATTGTGAAATGACCCTATGAACACTGTGAATATGACCTTATGTAACACTGTGAATTCCCTGGATGAACACTGTGAATATGACCTGGATGACACGTGAATATGACCTGGATGAACATAATAACTAGACCTGGGATAAACATTGTGATATACCTGGATAAACATTTAAATAGACCTGGGATAAACACTGTGAATATGACATGGGATAACCCATTGTTATATGACCTGGGATGAACATTGATGAATATGACCTGGATGAACATTGTGAATATGACCTGGGATAACACGGAATATGCCCTGGGATGAACATTGTGAATGACCTGGGATGAACACTGTGAATATGAACCTGGATGACCATTGTGAATATACCTGGGATGAACACTGTGAATATGACCTGGGATGAACTTGTGAATATACCTGCATAACACTGTAATAGACCTGGATGAACATGTGAATATGACCTGAGATGAACAGGGGAATATGACCTGGATGAACATTGTAAATATGACCTGGGATAACATTGTGAAATGACCTGAATGTACATTGGAATATGACCTAGATGAACATTGTGAATATGACCTGGGATGAACATTGTAAATTATGGTGATAACATTGTGAATATGACCTGGGTGAACATTTGAATATGATCTGGGATGAACATTGTGATATGACCTGGTGAACATTGTGAATATGACCTGGGATGAACATTGTGAATATGACCTGGGATGGACATTGTGAATATGACCTGGATAAACATTGTGAATATGACCTGGGATGAACATGTGAATATGACCGGGGAGGGAAACATTGTGAATATGACCTGAGATGAACATTGTGAATATGACCTGGAATGAACATTATGAATATGACCTGAGATGAACATTGTGAATATGGACCTGGAATGAACATTGTGTAATATGACCTGAGATGAACATTGTAAAATATGACCTGGGAGAACATTGTGAATATGACCTGAGATGAACATTGTGAATATGACCTGAGATGAACATTGTGAATATGACCTGAGATGAACATTGTAAATATGACCTGGGATGAACATTGTGAATATGACCTGAGATGAATATTGTAAATATGACCTGGGATGAACATTGTGAATATGACGTGATATGAACATTGTGAATATGACCTGAGATGAACATTGTGAATATGACCTGAGATGAACATTGTGAATATGACCTGGGATGAACATTGTGAATATGACCTGGGATGAACATTGTGAATATGACCTGAGATGAACATTGTGAATATGACCTGAGATGAACATTGTGAATATGACCTGGATGAACATGTGAATATGACCTGGGATGAACATTGTGAATATGACCTGAGATGAACATTGTGAATATGACCTGAGATGAACATTGTGAATATGACCTGGAATGAACATTGTGAATATGACCTAAGATGAACATTAATAACTATGACCTGGGATGAACATTGTGAATATGACCTGAGATGAACATTGTGAATATACCTGAAGAACATTGTGAATATGACCTGAGATGAACATTGTGAATATGACCTGGGATGAACATTGTGAATATGACCTGGATGAACATTGTGAATATGACCTGGATGAACATTGTGAATATGACCTGGGGATGAACATTGTGAATATGACCTGGGATGAACATTGTGAATATGACCAGGATGAACATGTGAATATGACCTGAGATGAACATTGTGAATATGACCTGAGATGAACATTGTAATATGACCTGGAATGAACATTGTGAATATACCTAGATGAACATTAATAACTATGACCTGGGATGAACATTGTGAATATGACCTGAGATGAACATTGTGAATATGACCTGAGATGAACATTGTGAATATGACCTGAGATGAACATTGTGAATATGACCTGGGATGAACATTGTGAATATGACCTGGGATGAACATTGTGAATATGACCTGGGATGAACATTGTGAATATGACCGGATAACCTGTGAATTGACTGGAAAAACATTGTGAATATGACCTGGGATGAACACTGTGAATATGACCTGGAATAAACATTGTGAATATGACCTGGGATGAACATTGTGAACATGACCTGGAATAAACATTGTGAATATGACCTGGGATGCACACTGTGAATATGACCTGGAATAAACATTGTGAATATGACCTGGGATGAACACTGTGAATATGACCTGGAATAAACATTGTGAATATGACCTGGGATGAACACTGTGAATATGACCTGGAATAAACATTGTGAATATGACCTGGGATGAACATTGTGAACATGACCTGGGATGAACACTGTGAATATGACCTGGAATAAACATTGCGTATATGACCTGGGATGAACACTGTGAATATGACCTGGGATGAACATTGTGAATATGACCTGAGATGAATATTGTGTATATGACCTGGGATGGACATTGTGAATATGACCTGGGATGAACATTGTGAATATGACCTGGGATGAACACTGTGAATATGACCTTTGATGAACACTGTGAATATGACCTGGGATGAACACTGTGAATATGACCTGGGATGAACACTGTGAATATGACCTGGGATGAACATTAATAACTATGACCTGGGATAAACATTGTGAATATGACCTGGGATAAACATTGTAAATATGACCTGGGATGAACACTGTGAATATGACCTGGGATAAACATTGTGTATATGACCTGGGATGAACATTGTGAATATGACCTGGGATGAACATTGTGAATATGACCTGGGATGAACACTGTGAATATGACCTGGGATGAATATTGTGAATATGACCTGGGATGAACACTGTGAATATGACCTGGGATGAACATTGTGAATATGACCTGGGATGAACATTGTGAATATGACCTGGGATGAACACTGTGAATATGACCTGGGATGAACATTGTGAATATGACCTGGATGAACACTGTGAATATGACCTGGATGAACATTGTGAATATGACCTGAGATGAACATTGTGAATATGACCTGAGATGAACATTGTGAATATGACCTGGGATGAACATTGTAAATATGACCTGGGATGAACATTGTGAATATGACCTGGGATGAACATTGTGAATATGATCTGGGATGAACATTGTGAATATGACCTGGGATGAACATTGTGAATATGACCTGGGATGGACATTGTGAATATGACCTGGGATAAACATTGTGAATATGACCTGGGATGAACATTGTGAATATGACCTGGGATGGACATTGTGAATATGACCTGAGATGAACATTGTGAATATGACCTGGAATGAACATTGTGAATATGACCTGAGATGAACATTGTGAATATGACCTGGAATGAACATTGTGAATATGACCTGAGATGAACATTGTGAATATGACCTGGGATGAACATTGTGAATATGACCTGAGATGAACATTGTGAATATGACCTGAGATGAACATTGTGAATAGACCTGGGGATGAACATTGTAAATATGACCTGGGATGAACATTGTGAATATGACCTGAGATGAACATTGTAAATATGACCTGGGATGAACATTGTGAATATGACTGAGATGAACATTGTGAATATGACCTGAGATGAACATTGTGAATATGACCTGAGATGAACATTGTGAATATGACCTGGGATAAACATTGTGAATATGACCTGGGATGAACATTGTGAATATGACCTGGGATGAACATTGTGAATATGACCTGAGATGAACATTGTGAATATGACCTGGGATGAACATTGTGAATATGACCTGGATGAACATTGTGAATATGACCTGAGATGAACATTGTGAATATGACCTGAGATGAACATTGTGAATATGACCTGGAATGAACATTGTGAATATGATCTAAGATGAACATTAATAACTATGACCTGGGATGAACATTGTGAATATGACCTGAGATGAACATTGTGAATATGACCTGAGATGAACATTGTGAATATGACCTGAGATGAACATTGTGAATATGACCTGGGATGAACATTGTGAATATGACCTGGGATGAAGATTGTGAATATGACCTGGGATGAACATTGTGAATATGACCTGGGATGAACATTGTGAATATGACCTGGGATGAACATTGTGAATATGACCTGGGATGAACATTGTGAATATGACCTGAGATGAACATTGTAAATATGACCTGGGATGAACATTGTGAATATGACCTGGGATGAACATTGTGAATATGACCTGGGATGAACATTGTGAATATGACCTGGGATGAACATTGTGAATATGACCTAAGATGAACATTAATAACTATGACCTGAGATGAACAACGTAAATAACTTAGAGTCTAGTTCAAACTTTCCCACCAACTCCAACTTGGATTGACCTTTTAGGCCTAACTTAGTTTAAACTTTGCAGCTACACGCTCTGGCAACCTCAGGTTTCTACGCCTATCAACTGGCATCCCACTACAACTGCCGGTGGAACCATGGCATCCGCTGGTGCCAATACTACATGTACGAAACAAGTGAGTGCCAGTCTAACCTCCATGTATTTACTATGGTCCGAAAAGTGCCAGAAAAAACAATTTGGATAAACTAAAAAAAAATGCCTGGGGACGAAACTGACTTTATTATAAAAAATAATAATAATAATAATAATAATAATAATAATAATAATATCTATATTTACTACCAGTACATGTACAAGGTATACCAGTACATGTACAAGGTATACCAGTACATGTACAAGGTATACCAGTACATGTACAAGGTATACCAGTACATGTACAAGATATACCAGTACATGTACAAGGTATACCAGTACATGTACAAGGTATACCAGTACATGTACAAGGTATACCAGTACATGTACAAGGTATACCAGTACATGTACAAGGTATACCAGTACATGTACAAGGTATACCAGTACATGTACAAGGTATACCAGTACATGTATAAGGTATACCAGTACATGTACAAGGTATACCGTACATGTACAAGGTATACCAGTACATGTACAAGGTATACCAGTACATGTACAAGGTATACCATACATGTACAAGGGATACCAGTACATGTACAAGTGTACAATCATAGCTGACATCAGTGACATACTACTATATAGGAAGTCACTTGTTATGCTGAGCATTTCCCGCAAATTATGTCAGTTTTGTTTCCAGGATGGACCACACCAGTCTAACTAACCACACAGATGTACCACACCGTCCAAATAACACCCAGATGTGACCCACACCAGTCCACTAACACCCATGATGTGACCCACACCAGTCCACTAACACCCAGGATGCGACCTGTAACGAGTTTGTTTGGTGTTCTGGTAGTGGGGAGTAAATGATACACGTCTTCGGAGGCTTCTTACTTTATTGTTAAGTCGTGGTGGGTACACAGGCTTGTGTGTTGTGCCCATGGCCCGGGCAGGGCCATCCCACGAGAGAGAGCTAGGTGTAGGCCTTGTGTCCTCCTGCTAGGCTGCTTTGTGAGTGAGAGCGAGGCAAGGACAGGCAGGCTGCCGTGCCCACCGAGAGGCCTAGCTACAGAGGGCAACACTTGAGTGGCGCGAAATATGAAATAAGCTGGCAGACAGCATGGGCTGTCTGTGCAGACAGTACAGGCTTCTCCGCTCATATGCCGTATTCTACTCAAGATTGATGGACTGACCACATCGACTCAAGGTTGAGGGACTGATTACCTCATTCTCCTCCTGTTCTTCAAGTTTCTCCTACGTATGGACTGATGAAGCCACTGTGTGGCGAAACGTTTCCTCAATAAAGATACCCAAGAGTTGCACATGTCTAATTTATCAGTACAGGCTGTCTACAGACCCACACTAGTCCACTAACACCCAGGATGCGACCCACACCAGTCCACTAACACATACGCTCAGCCACCTATCGCGTGTCGTTCCCAACGCGACTATACTGGTGGTAAAAGAAACTCGGTCTCTCTCTCGTAGGAACAGGGCACAGAACACAAAATAAAAACATATATATACATATGGACACGGAAAAAAAACTTCCTACAGGGAGGGAAGAAAAACTTGGTGTGTGCTAAACATCGTGGTCCCTAAGCAGTGAGCGTCGAGGGGCATCACTGCAAAGCCTTCCTGCGTCTGGACAATACTGCAACACAGGAGACACACTGCACTGAGCTGGACGTAACGGGTACGGTCCCCTGAAACGGTGATGCAGTCATCGTAGGAGTTGCTGCAGTTTTCACTCAACCGGGGCCACGACATGCTGGGGCCCTCGAGTAGGCGTCGACAAACTCGGCAAATGAGCAGGACTTCCCGGCAAGCGACTCAGGAAAGACACTTCTCGACTTTGGTACTGTCGCTGGCTGTCACTGCCGACGGGGCATGAAGCGAGTTTGTGTGCAGAGACGATGGTCGAAACACTGGAGTTGTAACAGCATACACCAGACTGCAGTGAGAGAGCTAGCAGTCAAAGTGACACATCTTTGTGCAGGGTGCTCACGAGGCTTGTGGCACGAGGCTGACACAGCGCCTGCCGACAGGGCTAACGTGGCTTGACGAGTTCATTCTCTCGGCAAATTGGAGTTATGCAGAGGGTTTGTCTAGCATCCCCAGACTTGTTTCTCTACATATAACTGCATTCTGAAGGTCTGGAGGTGAAGTGAAACAAATCTTGATGGGAATCGTAGCAGGTACGATTCTGCAGAACATCACAAGCTACGAGCACAAAAGCTTTCTGTACAAGAGGGCTCGGTCACTCGGGGGCTGAGTAAATCACCTGTCAAATGCACTGGTCACACGGGTGACTTAGCACAGTGGTGCTACTCAGGTCTGGCTCAGACACACGGAAACTTTACACACACCGTGGTATATGCGGTATAACATGGCTTAACTAGCAAATGATACTTTTCTGTGCACAAAACTGACACTAAGACATATACTAAAATGTGAGAACACTGACTGAGAGGAATTAATTAACACACGGCATATATCTTCTCTCAATCTTCTCGACAATACTGAAATAATTACTAGGACACTCGATGTGACATGTGATGTCAGGCGTGATGTCGCGAGGTGGCGTCAGCAGCACTGTGACGTCAGCAGGCATCTCGAGGTGACGTCAGGCAGACATCGTGACGTCATGAAGTCGGGCAGCATCGTCGGTGACGTCAATGTGATGCAGGCAGCAGACCACAGCATGTGGCCTGGGACATCTGGTAACTCACGTGGCCTGTAGATCCATGTGACATCGGCCACACCCACGTGGCGTCGGGATCCACGTGATGTCGTGATCTACGTGGCATGCTGATCCACGTAGCTTCGAGTGGCCTCGGGCACTCGGATACACAGCTCTGGCAATGAATCACACGAAAAACAGCAGAAAACACAGCAGAGGGAGTGAGTAGTGGTGAGTGGTGTATGGTAGGCTGGTGAGGTGTGAGAGTACAGCAGGGCGAGGCAAGGAGCTGCCACTTCCTCCTCCCACAAACACGTGGAGAAACTCACACTGGATGCAGAAATCACCACAAAATTCACCTCTGGCTTGCTGAAACAGCTGTGCTGAGCTGAACAACAACAGCAACATACAAGTGACACTGAACACGTGACTTGAGAAACAGCATGGGACGCTGTAGCGTGGGGTCACAATTCTCGAAGAAATTCGGCAAATTTCGGCTAGATCCTGCTTGTACCTGTGTCTGGATGCTGAAACGTGCAGACATAGCTTCAGGATAACTCGTTGAGAGACGGATGCTTCTTGCATGGGATGATGAAGTGAAGATGACTTCATTCCTTCCTTCATCTCTCTGGGCAAACACAACTGCTGCGACCACCGCTTCCCACCATTTATAACGAGTTTGTTTGGTGTTCTGGTAGCGGGGAGTAAATGATACACGTCTTCGGAGGCTTCTTACTTTATTGTTAAGTCGTGGTGGGTACACAGGCTTGTGTGTTGTGCCCATGGCCCGGGCAGGGCCATCCCACGAGAGAGAGCTAGGTGTAGACCTTGTATCTTCCTGCTAGGCCGCTGTGTGAGTTAGAGAGAGGCAAGGACAGGCAGGCTGCTGTGCCCACCGAGAGGCCTAGCTACAGAGGGCAACACTTGAGTGGCGCAAAATATGAACTAAGCTGGCAGACAGCATGGGCTGTCTGTGCAGACAGTACAGGCTGTCTACCGACCCACACCAGTCCACTAACACCCAGGATGCTACCCACACCAGTCCACTAACACCCAGGATATGACCCACACCAGTTCACTAACACCCAGGATGTGACCCACACCAGTTCACTAACACCCAGGATGTGACCCACACCAGTCCACTAACACCCAGGATGTGACCCACACCAGTCCACTAACACCCAGGATGTGACCCACACCAGTCCACTAACACCCACGATGTGACCCACACAAGTCCACTAACATCAAGGATGTGACCCACACCAGTCCACTAACACCCATGATGCCACGCACACCAGTCCACTGACCCCCAGGATGTGACCCACACCAGTCCACTACCACCCAGGATGTGACCCACACCAGTCCACTAACACCCAGGATGTGACCCATACCAGTCCTCTAACACCCAGGATGTGACCCACACCAGTCCACTAACATGCAGGGTGTGACCCACACCAGTCCACTAACACGCAGGATGTGACCCACACCAGTCCACTAACACCCAGGATGCCACCACACCAGTGCACTAACACCCAGGATGCCACACACACCAGTCCACTAACACCCAGGATGCCACCCACACCAGTCCACTAACACACAGGATGCCACACACACCAGTCCACTAACACCCAGGATGCCACCCACACCAGTCCACTAAAACCCAGGATGCTAGCACACAGTCCACTAACACCATGATGCCACCACACCAGTCCACTAACACCCAGGATGCCACACACACCAGTCCACTAACACCCAGGATGCCACACACACCAGTCCACTAACACCCAGGATGCCACACACACCAGTCCACTAACACCCAGGATGCCACCCACACCAGTCCACTAACTCTCACGTACCCATTTTAAACTGATGAGTGAACATAGACAGCAGGTGTCTTATGGAAACACGTCCCTAATGTTTTCCAGCGTACCGGAGGATATTCGAACCCCGGACCTCAGTGTGTGAGGCGAGTGCGCTAACGATCGAGCTACGGGACTCAGCAACTAGGTGACGTAAAGCGTCATACAATTTTTATCTTGTATTACGACATTCTTCTCGGTTACATACTTATTTCTCGTTTTATATATATATATATTTTGTATTTATCCGTTTTCTTTATTCGTTTTTTTAAGGTATTATAATTTAAAAGTTCAGCCACTTGTTATTGTATTAGGAAGACCCAGTACTAGGAAGACCCAGTACTAGGAAGACCCAGTACTAGGAAGACCCAGTACTAGGAAGACGCAGTACTAGGAAGACCCATTACTAGACCCAATACTAGGAAAATCCAGTACTAGGAAAACCAGTACTAGTGAAGATTGAACCTTATACAAATAGGAACCTTATATAGGAAGTGCACCAGTACTAGGATTAGACCATACAAGGAAAGGACCGTATAGGAAGATGCAGACTGAGGAAGTCCCAGGATGATGTGTTCAGACCTCAATCTTTAGGAATGTACGCAGTACTAGGAAGAGCTAGTACTAGTGAAGGCGAGGTGAACTAGGAGGAGGCGTCATACTGACCATACTAGGAAGAGTGAGTGAGGTGAAGCAGTAGAGGCGGCGTATAGTGTACCATACTAGTCTGAAGTAGTGAGGTGAGGTAAGCAGGAGGAGGCGCGTCATAGTGGTACCATCACTAGTCGAAGTATGTGAGGTGAGTAAGCAAGAGAGGCGGCGTCATAGTGGCTTTACCATACATAGTCGAAGTAGTGAGGTGAGGTGAGCAGGAGGAGTGCGGCATCTAGTGGTACCTCACACTAGTCGAAGTGATTCGTCCAAAGGTTGTGACAAGTTGAAGAATGTCTTGTATCAAGTCAGGATTTGCAGTGTGAGGTGAGTGAAAGTTTAGGAACGGCGCAGACTGTATCCATCAGTCGACACTGCACATCCTGGACTAATAAGATTCTTCAACCTTGCAACCTAGGACAGACTACTTCGACTAGTGGATGGTACCACTATGACGCCGCCTCCTCCTGCTTCACCTCACCTCACTACTTCGACTAGTGGATGGTACCACTATGACGCCGCCTCCTCCTGCTTCACCTCACCTCACTACTTCGACTAGTGGATGGTACCACTATGACGCCGCCTCCTCCTGCTTCACCTCACCTCACTACTTCGACTAGTGGATGGTACCACTATGACGCCGCCTCCTCCTGCTTCACCTCACCTCACTACTTCGACTAGTGGATGGTACCACTATGACGCCGCCTCCTCCTGCTTCACCTCACCTCACTACTTCGACTAGTGGATGGTACCACTATGACGCCGCCTCCTCCTGCTTCATCTCACCTCACTACTTCGACTAGTGGATGGTACCACTATGACGCCGCCTCCTCCTGCTTCACCTCACCTCACTACTTCGACTAGTGGATGGTACCACTATGACGCCGCCTCCTCCTGCTTCACCTCACCTCACTACTTCGACTAGTGGATGGTACCACTATGACGCCGCCTCCTCCTGCTTCACCTCACCTCACTACAGTATATAAGCCACGTCTACAACCCTGTGCTGTACTTTCTACAAGATTGATTGACTGAACACATCGACTTCAGGCTGAGGGACTGATTACCTCAAACTCCTCCTCTCCTTACACCTTTCTGGTTTGTATTGGACTGATGGAAGCCACTGTGTGGCGAAACGTTTCCTCAATAAAGATTCCCATATGTTGCATAAGTGTCTCAATCTTCAACTTATCGGTTTTTTGAACTATATATCACATCCAGTACTAGACTCATTACTAGGAAGACCCAGTACTAGGCTCAGTACTAGGAAGACCCAGTATTAGACTCAGTACTAGGAAGACTCAGTACTAGGAAAACCCAGTACTAGACTCAGTACTAGGAAGACCAGTATTAGACTCAGTACTAGGAAGACTCAGTACTAGGAGACCCGTATAGACTCAGTACTAGGGGACTCAGTACTAGGAAAGACCCAGTACTAGACTCAGTACTAGGAAGACCCAGTACTAGACTCAGTACTAGGAAGACCCAGTACTAGACTCAGTACTAGGAAGACCCAGTACTAGACTCAGTACTAGGAAGACTCAGTACTAGGAAGACCCAGTACTAGACTCAGTACTAGGAAGACCCAGTATTAGACTCAGTACTAGGAAGACTCAGTACTAGGAAAACCCAGTACTAGACTCAGTACTAGGAAGACCCAGTATTAGACTCAGTACTAGGAAGACCCAGTACTAGACTCAGTACTAGGAAGACCAGTATAGACTCATAACTAGGAAGACTCAGTATTAGACTCAGTACTAGGAAACCAGTACTAGACTCAGTACTAGGAAGACTCAGTATTAGACTCAGTACTAGGAAGACTCAGTATTAGACTCAGTACTAGGAAACCCAGTACTAGACTCAGTACTAGGAAGACCCAGTACTAGACTCAGTACTAGGAAGACCCAGTACTAGACTCAGTACTAGGAAGACCCAGTATTAGACTCAGTACTAGGAAGACCCAGTACTAGACTCAGTACTAGGAAGACCCAGTACTAGACTCAGTACTAGGAAGACTCAGTATTAGACTCAGTACTAGATAAACCCAGTACTAGACTCAGTACTAGGAAGACCCAGTACTAGACTCAGTACTAGGAAGACCCAGTATTAGACTCAGTACTAGGAAGACCCAGTACTAGACTCAGTACTAGGAAGACCCAGTACTAGACTCAGTACTAGGAAGACCCTGTACTAGGAAGACTCAGTACTAGGAAACCCAGTACTAGACTCAGTACTAGGAAGACCTCTAGATATCTAGGAAGACTCAGTACTAGGAAGACCCAGTACTAGACTCAGTACTAGGAAGACCCAGTACTAGACTCAGTACTAGGAAGACCCTGTACTAGGAAGACTCAGTACTAGGAAGACCCAGTACTAGACTCAGTACTAGGAAGACCCAGTACTAGACTCAGTACTAGGAAGACCCTGTACTAGGAAGACACAGTACTAGGAAGACCCAGTACTAGACTCAGTACTAGGAAGACCCTGTACTAGGAAGACCAGTACTAGGAAGACCCAGTACTAGACTCAGTACTAGGAAGACCCTGTACTAGGAAGACAGTACTAGGAAGACCCAGTACTAGACTCAGTACTAGGAAGACCCTGTACTAGAAAACAGTACTAGGAAGACCCAGTACTAGACTCAGTACTAGGAAGACCCTGTACTAGGAAGACACAGTACTAGACTCAGTACTAGGAAGACCCTGTACTAGGAAGACACAGTACTAGGAAGACCCAGTACTAGACTCAGTACTAGGAAGACCCTGTACTAGAAACACGTACTAGGAAGACCCAGCTAACTAGATCAGTCTAGGAAGACCTGTACTAGGAGACACAGTACTAGGAAGACCCGTACTAGACTCAGTACTAAAGAAGACTGTATAGAAAACAGTACTAGGAGACCCCACTAAACTCGTACTAGAAGATTACTAGATCATACTAGGATTATCTAAGCCACTAAAGATATTAAACTAAGCTTATGCTTATCCTAACACTAAGATATATAATACTAGCACTTACATTATCCTAACATTAAGATATATAATACTAGCACTTACATTATCCTAACACTAAGATATATAATACTAGCACTTACATTATCCTAACACTAAGATATATAATACTAGCACTTACATTATCCTAACACTAGATATATAATTCCTCAGCCTACATAATGTACATAAGATTAAATCTAGCACTTACTTATCCTACACTAAGATATATAATACTAGCACTTGCTAATCGCTAACACTAGTATATTTCCCTAGCATAAGCTATATTTTCTATCATTAAATATATTGAATTACTTTTGCTATGTAACTACTTATCCTAGCCATTAAGATATATTATCATGTCATAAGTATATCTCAATGAAGTATATTGTTCCCTAGCACTAAGATTGTTACATTTAAGTATATCTAGAATCTTTTTGATCTAGATAACTGGACTGATAGCTATCCTTGTCTAGCATTACAGCAGGCCAGTAAGCCTGCTGCAGTGCTCCTTCTTTGTGTTCATAAGATTCCTCAAACCGGGACCTATGTGAAGTGTTCAGATCACGGAGCTTACGACGACGTTTCGGTCAGACTCAAACCATTTACAAAGTCACACTTTGCAAATGGTCCAAGTCGGACCAAAAAGTCATGGTAATAAGTTCCTCTCTCCTATATACGGGTTATCTATGTGTTGTTCAACACACGGGATTGAAGCTTCTTGTTCTTGATCAAGTACTAAGCTTGACTTCACCTTTCAGATCACAATTTACGAGTCAACGTGGGTATCGGTGAAGGTGTTGTGTGTCTCGTCTTCGCTTGCCTCCTGATGGTCGGCTTGTGCAAGGTATGACATTTACCCAGTTAATTATCCTTAGTGGATCTGCTTGTCAGTAATAACCCACATGAAAAAAACATGAGAGTGATCTGTATATTTCCATCCCCTTTCCAGGATCCTCTTCTGCTGCAGAGGATCCCAGAAGGGGATCAAAAATCGCTCAACGAACCTCCTGTGTTTGTCTCCAATGGTACTCGTATAGAATTCACGATATTTATTAATGGTAACTGAGCTGCACATAAGTATTACCTATATCTTAATAGATTTTGTGGATTTAAGTTGGAGAAATTCAGAATTACAGAGGAAATAGGGAAGTACCAGTTTGGCAGTAGAGTTGTAGATGAGGGGAATAAGTTGTAAGATATTAATTGTTCCTGATCCAACAACCATAAAGCCCCATAAGTGATAGCCATGATAATAGTGAGAGGCTGTTGATGCAAGATATTTATCTTATCCTAGTCAAGCTCTACCATTGAATGTAATAATAATTATATATGAGGCCATCCTTTTCCAATTATCGTCTCAATAGTCTCTCGAGTTTCATAGCATTTCTGGTATTTTCGTGCTAATGTGACCCACATTATGAAAATATATGGAAAAATTTTTTTCTTTGATCCTCAACACGATAAATATTCTCAATTTTCTTTCTTGGACATTTTCTTAACGTGGGGATGTTTTTTTGTTTATACGGTTTGCATTTTCCACTCAAAAAAAAATCTCAAACATAATAGTTTACACTGTGTTCCTTCTATGTGTTGTTTACATACTGAGTTTCCATTGAAAGATTTTTATGAAACATAAATATACGAGTAGTGCGAAAATTTGTCTGGACTGCCTCCATGTGAGTCGCCTACCCTGGCAAGCTCTGTTGACGCCGAGCCCTGAGGTCGGTACCTCAGCCTCACAAGTGGCTTATAGGACAGATTTTCACAAATGACTGATATTGCAAGAAATCTCGCCTGCATGCACATGTAAAGGAATAACTTACTTGGTGTTGGAGAATGTGTCTCGGTCTTCAACCTCCCTAAGCTTTAGTCCCTGTGGAACTTCCCCTCAGAACCACGTGCAACCGGGAGCCTTAATTCTGGTCATGAACTGCCGGCTGCACAAAGAGCCCACAGCACGACTCGCCCACAATTTTTCCCCAGATACTGGCCAAGGATCCTAAGAAAAATTGGAGGTCTTGTCTTACTGTATGGGCCTGACGGAGGAGGACATCTGCAGTACATTGAGGTGCCTCCACCAGATTTCCCCAGGTCTAATATGTGAAGACACGTGTGGGTGCCGCCTGCTGATCATGGCACTTGTTGCTCAGATGGTGTCTAGTCTTAGAAGAAAGGGCACTGTGGTCTCAAACCCCCATGCCCAGCATTCAAACTTGGGCTGCCAGTTCTCACTGGCTAACATAACCTAGTGTTTGCCTACATTATCGGCCTATTACTACCTATGTTAAGGTCTTAGGTCTACATTATTATTATCTACAGTTGCCTCAATAATCCTAATATTAGTGCACTAACAGTATAAGCTACCTACTTCTTCCCTGAAGGGTAAATCTATCAATTAAGAAGTACCTTCCAACCACCTTCGCCAACTTGGGTGAGTGTGCGTGTGGTTTGGGTGGGTGTAAGGGCCCTCAAACGGTGTGTTTTTCCCCGTTGGGACTTTTAGGACCGAATAAGTTCCAACATCCTCCTGCCGGCGAAGATAGGCGCTAAGTATAGATCAAGTCTGCCTCCCACAGGCCCTCCCAGTGGGTCCTGGACTTGAGCGCCATTCGACGGGTCGTCCGGGAGCTCTGTTCGGTCAACCTCTGGTATAACTTCTCCTGTCCCGGTCCCACCGTGTGGACCTCGAGAGGCAAAAGCCTGTTTATGGGCCTTATGGTCCCGACACCATTCATTCTCACCTTCACCATTCTCAATCGCCCAGCCTTATCTGGCTGGGTCGACACCACCAGGCCTAGAGGCCAGTATGCCCTGGGTGCCTCGGATTCTACTAGCACCAGGTCCCCTTCACTCAGCGTCATTTTATTTGCCTCGGGGTCTGCACCATAGAAATGTTCTCGCAGGGCTGTCAAGTAATCCCTGCGCCACACCTGGTTCCATTTGTCCAGGATGTTCACCAGTCTGTTGTGACTCCTGCACAGTTCTTCATTGATAGGGGGGCCATCTGGCCCATAATAATCCTGCTCCTTGGAAGACTGGCTCAAAATTGAGGGGAAGGGCTCAATCCTCCTTCCAAACAGCATGTGATTGGGGGTGAGAGCTTCCTGCTCGTCAATCCCATTTTGCACATAGGTCAGAGGCCTGTTATTGACTCTTGCCTCTATCTCAACTAACACTGTCCTCAATTCATCAATGCTCACTCTCTTGCTGTACAAGACCTTCGAATGCACCTTTTGACTGTGCCCACCATGCATTCATAGAATCCCCCTTGCCAAGGTGCTCTGGGAACTACGAACCTCCACTCACACTCTGTCCTCTTCAGATATTCCCGTACTTCTCTGTTGTCCCTAAGATTCCTGAAAACTTTATCGGCCGCTCTGAAGCTCGTCCCATTATCCGAGATAATCAATTGCGGGCACGAGAATCTGGCTGTAAACCTCCTGAACAACTTCACGAAAGTCTCTGTTGACATATCTTCCACCAACTCCAAATGCATGGCTCGAGTAGTGGCACAAGTATACAAGCAGACATATACTTTCGTCTCCTGGGTTCTTCAACGTGATAGCCCCATTATAGTCTATTCCCACAGTCTCAAAGGGCCTGTCACTATGTACCCACTCCTGAGGCAGCGGTGGGGGACCTGGGTACGGTAGGGTCCTCCCATCGTACCACCGGCAGACAGTGCAACTCTATCACCTTTTTGATGGCAGCTCGGCCCTTCAGTACCCAGAAGTTCTGACGAAGACTGGTAAGGGTATCTCCAAACCCACCATGCATGGTCCTCTGATGAGCATCATGTATCAATAACTCTGGCACCCACCCCTCCTTTCCCAGTAACACGAGATGTTTGGCCCCATAACTGAACTCAGAGTTTTGTAGTCTTCCCCTGCATCTTATCAGCCCAGCATGATCTAGGAACAATCCCAATGAGTGGACAAATTTACTGTTCCCTGAGTCGCCGTCGGGCACAAGACCTGACATGATATCCTGCTGCCCTGCTGCCAGTAGCTCCAGAGCTCCCGGGAACCTCTCCCTTTGGTACTGCCATAACCAATATTCTCTGGGACCACGAGAAAGAACTGTCGACCCCGGCTTACCTTGTCATGCAGCTTCCTCACAAATCGAAATACCATTTCTGTGACTCCTGTAAGTTTCCTCCAAGAGGAGTAGCGTCTGGGGTCAAATAATACTGCATCGGGTTCCCCAACAAAATGTACTATGCTGCTGGTTGTTTCCCCGAATTTCTGCTCCAGCCAGCACTCCTTTGCTGGTAACCAGTCTGGGCCTTTGAACCAAATCTCGCTCTTACTCAGCTTTATGTGCGTCACCCCTCGGCTTATCAGGTCGGCTGGGTTTTGATCTGTAGGTACATACAGAATTGTCGACATTGACTGTAGCTCCCATATCTCCTTTACCCGGTTCTTGACATAGGGGAGCTTGGACCTGTCGTTCTGGACCCACTGTAAGGCCACCTCCGAGTCTGTCCATACATAGGTGTGTGTCGCCCTCAGGTTATGCAACACCTCCTTTACATCCCCAGTCTTGCTCCCAGCAACATCGCCGTGAGCTCTAGCTTTGGGATTGAGCAATCTTCAGGGGTGTCACCCGCACACGGCTGGTGGCCAGATTGACCTGGTCCCTGGCCACCAAGTATGCTACTGCCCCCATAGGCCCTGGAGGAGGCATCACAGAAGACATGCAAGTCATAGTCTTGCCCGTTGCACACGAGGGACCTGGGGAAGGTGAACTCATGCAATTCGGCTAGAGCTTTGCTAACCAGATCCCACTCCTGGCAGACTGTTTCTGGCAGTGGATCGTCCCAACCTAGGTTCAGCTCCCAGGTCTGTTGCACTAGCATCCTCCCTCAAATAGTGATGGGTGCCAACAAACCCAAAGGGTCGAAGGCAGTCTGCACTTTGCTCAGCAAGGACCTCCTGGTCAGCTTCTCTTTCCCATCAGGTTTCCTCTTTAACCTAAGTCTGTCTTCCTTGAGTTCCCACTCCAGTCCCAACACCGATGTTACCTCAGGTACTGAGTAGCCAGCATAGTCACGTTCCACCGTGCCTCGCAACGTTGGATTGTTTGTTACCCATTCTCTCAAGGGCATGTTAGCTGAGAGCATCTCCTGATTAGATTCTCGGTAAATGCCCATCAACAGCCTCTCATCTGAGGTGTACCTTGTTGTTTCCTTAAAATAGGGTCTTCAGTAATTCTTTTAGTGGGCTGTTACAGTTTGCAAGGTGGTAGTCTATGGTGGCCTGCAATAGGAATGGTGAACTAGTGGCGCCAAACAACACCGCCGTGAATCTGTATCATACCCTTGCTCGGGCACCTCCCTGTTAGCCAACCACAAGAACCTCGTGTAGTCCCTATCTTGTGGCTGCAACCCAATCCATAGGAAGGCTTTGCTGATATCTGCTGCATAGGCATACGGTTCTGTCCTGAATCTCAACAACACATCTTCTAATTTCTGCGTCAGGGAGGCCCCTGTGAGCAGACAGTCGTTCAACGATGGCTCTCGGGGACTCGCCTGTGAGCTGCAGTTGAAGACCACTCTGATGGGAGTGGTTACTGATTCCTTGGTGACTGCCATTTGTGGAAGATAATGGGTGTTTTCCCCAGGGCTGGCATTGGGTACTTTCTCAATGAACCCGAGGGCCAGCTGTTCCTTAATAATGTCATCGTATTTCCCCACCAGACCCTTCTTGGTCAGGCTGTTCATCAATGAATTCAACTGACCCCGTGCCTTCTTGAAATTAGTGGGCAGCGTTGGGTGTAGCGGTTTCCATGGGAGTCGCACCCAGTACTGTCCGTCCTTGAACTGCACATGGTTCAAGTAATCTT